ATAGGGTAGGATCTGACAAGATCTGTATATGGGGCTAAGCCTGACCATATTCAGCAATAAGCTTGAAGTGACAAAGTCATGTGTAGGGTAGGTCTATCTGAGTAGAGAGTTCAGTCACAAACAGATTTGACTTTGGCCAACGGGCTGAGACATTACTAGGGCAAAGCTTAGTGGTTAAAAGGAATTTGCAACTCTATAGGTAAAATTCAGAACACTGTCGCTACAAGTGTGCGACTACACAAAAACACTGAAAATCTGATTTTTACCCGAGAGAGCAAAACTTAGGACCGTGTAGGAGAATTTGGGGTAAGATCTGTACTAATCACACTCTCTCTCAAACACAGGTCATCCATCCAATGACTGCAATTCAGTGTGAGAACATGAATGTGATCAGACAATGAATGCAGCTCAAAGCATGCACAGGGGATTAGTAAGACAAGGATTCACTGAAACTGACAATGAAATTCTTGTCAGACTGCAGTCTGTCCATCAGCGGTGTTTGAGAAATGGGATCGGCCTGGAACTTAGGGTACTCATTCTCAAGCACAGAGGATGCACAGACAAATCACAAGGTAGCTATACCAGGAGGAGGTTTCCATCAGCTGAACACACACACCGGTAAGTTACAAACAACCAAACTGCACCTGATCCTTCTTCAACAAAAGGATACTCAGTTCAGCAGAAGCGGTTGCCCCATGAAGGGCAATACTTCACAAAGTGGTGCTTAGCACATCTGAGGCAGACACCAGCATCCTTCCTCTTTTGCCATAGCCCGTCTGGGATACGCAAGTCCCTCCATGGGAGAGAGGAAGGATCCGTGGGGTTAGCTGGACATTTGGCAAATTGGGCAGATTTTGCTTCTGAGGTTCACGGGGGCGTTTGTCAAACCCCATAGGAGAGGGGGACCTTCATCTCTGGAGCTGATTTGCCCCCTTCATTGCACTTACCAGCTCCTGAGCCAAAGTCAGAATAGCCTTGTCTGGGAAGCCTCCTGCACCTTGACTAGCTGAGGGAGTCAATCCTCTCTGGTCAAAGCCTGCAGAGTCTTCCACAGACTCCATCGTGTGCCACCTTCCTTTGCTCTTCCTCTGACTCTGAGAGGGGAGGTGCTTCCCGCCTGGGAAGTGGACTGGATTTGGAATTTGGCCTCCAGATCCAAGGGTGCTCTGCCAAAGGCCTTCCAGTCCTTGTGACCTGCAGAAAATAGGGCCTGTACATAAGTTATCGGGGTAGCCTGGACAAACAACTGCAACTTGTCCTGGTTTGACATGGATAACCCAGGTGTAGAGGTTAGCCTTTCCCAAACTGCGTAGAGCTTCGAGAGGGATCCCTGTCACTGTGACTGGCCTATCCGCTCTGCAGCAGCTTTCTTGGCTCTCTCTCGATTGGCGAACCTCTCCTCCAGACCCTTAAATATGTGGTCCAATCCTGCTGTAACAGCCCAGTCGGCCAGCTGTTTTTGGGCTTTATTGGCCTCAGAAGTAGCCCACTGAAGTGCAGGCCCTCCCAAAGGGGCCACAGTGAACTGCACCTTGGTAACCTCTGGGCAAGTGAGTTCCTTGAGGTACCATCTCATCGAGGCATTCCAATCTGCTACATCCACTTTGGGGTTATCCCCAGTGAATGTTTCAGGTTGGACCGTCTTGGGGCGCCTCAATTTCTGCTGGCCTAGGCCTGCAGTCACTTTAGCCTCTGAAGTCACAAGGTGCCCTGCCACAAGCTGCAGGGATGACACCTTTGGAGGTGTAGCGGGTCTGCTCTTGGGGCTACTGGCTTGGGATGAAGCAGCAGCAGAGGACCTTACATGGGAATGGGGTGTAGCAGTAGGAGTAGGAGTAGGAGTAGTGGGAGTAGGAGTACAAGTAGTGGGAGTAGGAGTAGGGAGGAAGCATAGATTAACAACTGCCACAAAACGATCGAAGGAATCTGCAAGGGAGGAGAGCATCGTTTCGATGATGGACAATCTGTCTGCCATCCAAGTCAAACTTTCATCCCAGGAGGTGTGTTCTTCCCTCCTCACTTCCTTGGATTGTCTTGACCTTCCTTCCTTCTGCTTCTCCATCTGCTCCAACTGCAACCGAGCTGCCTCTACAGCCTTACCTACTTATCCAATATTGAGCTCAGTGATAGGCAACGTGCAATTTCCTGCACTGACTGAACTCTCTTCCCCCATTCCAGAATAATCTTTTCACATAACAAGATAAACGCGAAAGTGTTCAAAGGCTGAAGACCATTCACTAGTCTACTCAGATATGGAATGTGGTGCGGACTCCCAACCCAAACAGATTCACAGACTTGCACAGACTGTTTTCTGACTGACTTGCAGGAATGGCACTGACCAACAAGACTGACCAACAGGGTCATACCCAATGGCAACCTTGACTAATCTCTCAACTCCGGCTGATAGGTTCACTCACACCAATTCCCAACTCTATGTAGGACCATTTTCAGGTGCAGGAACTGACAACAGTGACTGACAAGCAATCACACATGGGCCCAACCTCGACCAGCAATCTTCCCACAAAAAGATATTTATTTGTTAGAAAAACAAATAAAATAAAAGTGGAATACTCAGATTACTGTTCACACTCAGAACCCAGACAATTAGAGTTAAACTGTGCTGTTTAGTGGTACGGAGAATACGGCAGGCTAGTGCCAAATGTCAAAAGACAGTATGAGAGGTTATGGGCTCAGCCCAACAGCCAAAATCGTCAACGAGTTACTTTAACTAAACCCACAACCAAATCAGAAACACAAACTTTTATTTTCTGATCAAGCTCACAACAGAGCCTTCCCACAACCGTCAGCATTTCACAGCAAGGGAGAGGTATAGTTTTTGTGTGACCCGATGGGCCACAGATCAGATATTAAACTGATCAGAACAGATACTACACTTAATCTTAGCCAAATGAAACGGTTTTCACCTTTCTGCAGTCACAGATGCGGGCACTAGAGTTCGATCCCCAAACCTTACCTTGCCCATGTACAGTATTGAGTTGATACCCGAGTGTTTGAACCCGTGACCTGTATTTTGGTAGTAGTTTGATGTCTGTCGTAAGTCTGTGTAGCTGTAGGGGTTCGATCTGTAGATCTGATGAGTAGGGGTCACAGCCTTGTAGAAGTCGCAGCTGTAGGTGTTCTGAGAGGTCAAGGTCATAGCTGCTACAGTCCTGAAGGGTCGAGGTTGTAGCTGCTACAGTGTTCGAAAGGCCAAGACCACAGACTTCCGGAAGGTCCGGAAGTGGCCTTTCGAAGTTGGCTCACGTTTAGACAGAGGCAAGTGGGCAAGTGGTGAGCCCAGCTGCGTTACGTCGGCAGTGCGACTGCATCGAGTTGGCAGTGCAAACCCATGCAGTCAGCGGTACCGGTCCCAGTCAGTCATAGTCCAGTCAAGCAAGTACCGTGTGGGACTGTGAGCACCAAGGGCATGGGAAAGGGGCAGACCAACGGGTTACAGAAGTATAAATCAAGAGGCAGCGCTCAGCTGTTCATTCATTCGCTGAGTAAGCCATGCGGAAGGGCTGCTACAGCGTCTTGTGCGAGGTGGTCTGCATGCTGCCCGAAGTCGAAGTGGGCTGAAGTGAGACTACGTAGCCATAGTTAGTGTTAGTAGGGCGGCCATAGCCGCTGTAGGAGGTAGTTAGGCAATAGTGTGTGTGGGTGCCAGAGAGGAACGTGTGTGAGATATTCAGGGTGATCCAAGTTTAGTAAGTGTGGACAGTGGTGTTGAACGCAGTAACGAGAGTTGGGATGCTCAGGCGATGTGGCGCCAGAGCCTGGTGAAGCAAGTTTGCAACCGAACTGTGTTCTCGATTTCCATATCTCTGAGCTTTGAGTGGGCGCTGTGCGCCAGTGTGAATCGCCATTTGTTCGCATGTATTAGGGGAGAGATATAGTTAATTTATGTAATCTGAATAATCAGGAAAAAAATAATAATAATAATAAAACCGGAGCTGATTTCAGAAACCGCAAATGCAGTCTGCATTCATTGCTCTAATCAAAATTGGAATATGCCATTCGACTAAGGACCTTACATCTGACGCAGGCAGAAGGCAATATTAACGGACTGACACTTTTCTGACTGCACATACTAATTGTTAACAGACAGGACTGACTGACAGACCAAAACAAGTGGCTGAAACAGACACGATTTATGGTAGGCACTTGCAGTACTGGCAGGCAATCACATCAAACCAGGGTAGGTCAAAGCAATTCCATTATGAGATTAAAACAAACTTAGAGATGGGTCAGAAACAGCCAAAACGTCAACTGACAACCGATCTGATCTAGACTGCAAATGGACTGATGACTGAAGACGCTGACAGACACAGACAGGGTCTGACATCGGACCAGGAAATATACGGAATGGACTCACTTGAACGGAACCTGATTGAAGATATCTGGGCAGTCAACCATTGACCGCCAATCTGCAGCAGAATATCATAGAACCAGGCTGACGCTGACGTCAGACCTGCAGCGAGGATCCTCACAGTCTTCCAATCAAGTAACTCGTCGAAGTAACCGCAGCAACGGCCCAGACGGTCGAACACACCGTCAACAGGCAAGGGCTGTAACTTGAGGGTCACAAGGCCCTCAGGTCAACCAGTCCACTTAGCGTTGATGCAGCGTTCAACTCCACTCCCATCACACGTTCCCATACGCGCATGCAATTGCAGAGTAGACTCGAAGGAGGCAAAATCCACACAAAACCAAAGAGAAGATATGCACAGTGGAAGCTCAAAACACACAGAGAATTGAAAAACGAATTTCAACTCTGCAATCCCTCGTGCAAGGAAGATGAGCGATAGCGAACTTCAGAAATCAAACAGCATCTTACACATGAGACCAGATCGTCATGACCTCGAACCAATAACAGAATTGCATCACGAGTTCCACCAAATAAGAGTACAGCAAAAGCTCATAATTGACAATGCTGGAATAGTCTCATCATCATCAACGAAGAACCAATGTCGATATCCTATCTGGCGCTTGGCGCCCAGACTACAGATGGCAGATCCTATCTAGCCTAATCTACAATGTCGCCGATGACGTCAACAGCTCCCCGAAGTATGAGCAGATCTCGCCCAATGCCGTACGCTTCAAGCACCAGGTATGTCTCTCTTATCACTCACAACCTCGTTCCCCAACTCACAGATTCCACATGCAGCCAAGGACCACCATCCGCCCCATCCAGCATACAGCAGCACACGGCTATGGCTGCCTACTCCTTCCAGCTCGCCCGTGAGCGCGTGAGCGCTGGCTAGGGTTAGCGCAGCAGCGCTTGCGCAGCATGCAGCCAGTGTCCTCTGCGCTGGGTCCCTGCCCAGAAGCTTCCAGTAGGCCCAGGGAGGCTGAGCCTCAGTCCAAACGAATCAGGCCCAGGGCCACCGAGAGTTACCCGTGCCCAACTGCTCACAGCCTGAGTTGGGCCTATGCTGCGCATCTCGCCCATGGCCTGACTTAGATACATCTGATAAAGGAGGCCAGGGCCTGGGCGCCTTCAACCAACTGGCGCTGCGCAATTGCCTGAATTTTCCCCAGTTGCGAAGTAGTCCAAAATAGGCCTCTTGTCGTCTGTCGAGCCCGCCTTCACTTAGGGCGGCTGACCTGTTGCAGATAGGGGCCGGTAGGGCTTATCGAGGCCTTGTGCCTCGCATTCCCTCCTCCATACTTCGTTAGTCCTCTGAGAAGTTTAGTCAATCCGACGCTTTCCTTTCTGCAGTAACTTCTCGTAGTGGGCGACAACGTGTGGAGCGGTCTGCATCAGTTTTTCCCGTGTAAACCATTTGTCCTCCTTAGGATCAGTGTGATGCCTGAACCGAAAGCGATACTGCAGCTTCGGTTTCGGAGGACGTCCTCTGTCGGTCGGTCTTGGAACTGGCATCTCTTTGTGATCCACGGTTTCATCAATGTCGACCTCTCCATCCATGGTTGGGGGCAGCATTGAGCGTCGCGAAGGGAACTGGTCAGTTTCCTTGAATGGTGCAAGCTTAGAGGCGTGAAAAACAGGGTAAGTATGAAGGTGTCCAGGGATCCGAATGACATACTAGGGTCCGTCTGGTTCATCCCCAACTACATTCAAAACCTCCCATGGTCCAACGTACTGTGGCATGAGCTTACGGGAAATCCCATGCTCTCGTCCCAGTTGTGAAGCCTTGACCCAGACCTTGTCCCCTACCTGAAACATAGATGGGCGGCAGTGCTTGTTCTCAGATTCAATCATCTCCGCCTGTGCTTTGTGCATGTGTTCTCTTATATCTATAAGCGAATTCCAAAGTGCCTGGAGCAGCAGTAGGCTGGTTCTCAGGTAGCAGAAAGTCAAGGGCGAGTCTGGGTTTGAACGTTAGAAGTAGGTTGTTAGGACTTACTCCCATGGCACTATGAACTGCGTTGTTGTACAGGCTGGCGATGAGAGCAAGTTTCTCATCCYAGTCCACTTGATTAGGCTTAATGTAGTGCCTTAGCAAGTGTTGAACAACGCGGTTCATTTGCTCTGCCTGTCCGTTTGCCTCTGGATGGTTTCCAGATGTCACCTGCAGCTGCATTCCTTGTTCGGCAGCTGCAGCCTTCCACAGTTCACTGGTGAATCGGACATCCCTATCGCTAATTATAGACTTCAGCAGGCCAAAGTCTCTGGCCCAGTTTTCCTTAAATAGCTTGATAGCGTACTCGGTCTTTGCTGTTTCCGGCATGGCCACTAACCTAGCATACTTGCTAAATCTATCCACGATGACATAGATGTACCTCATGCCACTCTTGCTGGTGACTAGCATATCCATGAAGTCCATGGACAGGCTTTCACCAGGCCTTTTCGGAGTCGGAAGGGGCTTGAGCAGCCCAAGAGGAGCCTGTGTCCCGGGCTTGTCACGTTGACAAACTTGACAAGTCTCGACATACAGTTTGGCATCTCTCATCATCGTGGGCCACCAGAACCACTGCAACAGATTGGCTGCAGTCTTCTTGAAACCAAAATATCGCGTGGCATCGTGACTCTCACCTAAAAATAAACTACGCAAAGACTCTCTATTATGAACACACAAACGTTTATTCCCAACCTTCTCAAGGAACAGCAAGCCGTTGACCAACTCAAACTTGACAGAAGTCACCTTGTCCTTCGCCTCGAGTCTGCGTATGATCTCGGTCATGAACTGGTCCTCGCGATAGGCTTCCACCAATGAACGAGTGACATCGTCTGCAAGCCCAAACTCAGTGATCAGCACACCAGAGAAGTCTGGCCTACGCAACAGCGCATCAGTAACTTTGTTGTACTCACCTTTGAGGTACTGGGCCTCGAAGTCATACTGCTCAATGACTTCGATCCAGCGTTTCAGCGCATCGGAGAGCACAGGCTGAGTTCTCATCCACTTCAGGGTCTGATGATCAGTCCTGACGATGACGAACCTCCCAAGGAGATAGTGCCTCCAATGGGTTAACGCTTTATAGATCGCGTACAACTCCTCATAGGTGGACTTAGCCAACTTCTGAGAGGGCATCTTTTTGGACATGTACTCCACTGGCCTCAACTTTG